TAGAGTTAAAAATATGAATAAGTGTTAAAACGTACATATAAGTAGAACTTTTATCGTTTCATAACATACAGAAACGAATTTCATATAAAAAGGCACATTAAATTCCACTCACATTTTCATAACACCAAGAGACCATACTAATGAATATATGTACGATGTAGTACTTTGAGTGTAAATAAAGAGCTTTTTTAACAAAAGACAATATTTAGTAGAAACATCGTTTAGATAAAAAGAATTTATAGATACGTATTTTATCGATTTAAAAGGGTAAATAACCACTATATGTCGATTATTTATCACATACTTACAATGTTGACCAACATATGTACATGTAACAGAGCTATAATCACTTGTGTGTCATTGTAAGATTGACATTAGATGTGAAACATCCAACACAAGCACAGTGAAACGATTCCATAGTTAGTATTTTTAATGAAAGTGGTTTATGTTTAATAAACACGTTTCAACGTGTTCCTTTGGAGTAATTTTCTACAAATAAATTTTTCCAGTGTAATCACACTAAATGCGCGTTTATCATATAAATAACAACAATAATAAACAAATTTGTATAATTCATATTACTATCACAAAATGCTTCTTTATAAAGAATATTCCGATGAACGAATATCGATAAGTATTACTAGAGACGCTTTTGTCGTCCAATAGAACTTACTGTTGCATCTCTAAAGAGACATTGCTTAATGAACGGTTTTATTCCTGGTATGATGATGAAAATGTCATATCATAATTAACAGAAGCCGAGCATACGTTCGGTATAGATATGCTCTGGCAGTATGGAAGCACAGAAAATAGATTTTTATTTGATTTAGCGTTCGGTATAGAACGATTAGACAATGATACACCCATTAATTGCCGCCATTATCACCAATATATTATAGTTAATACAAATTAGACTTATATAGCTGATAAATAACACAAATTACAGCAATTCTTGCTCATATATCTCATAAAAATACCAAATATTAATTTTTAGATGCTATAATTGTTGTCAATAGTTCCGAATGATACCAGCTGTTTACATAATCCCGAAGCGTAAAAAGTTTGTTTCATGTAAACACGGCCGTCGTTGAAACAAAAACCAGAGCAAACATTGACATAAAAAACGCAAACACTTCTCTACACGTTTCACATTACCAAACACTTTGTTTCACAAAGTACATGATAAGACGGAGCCCCTCCTATAGGTATTATGGATTCTGGCGGCAGGACACTTAAGAACAAAACAAAAGCTATAATTGAGAACTTTTGGTTGAGATCCTTACACAAAGCAGATACAGAGTCGTGGAACTACAAGGACCTGCAGTTGCCTTTAGCACGAATAAAGAGATTGATGAAAGTTGAGGAGGAAGTCAAAATGGTTGCATCGGAGGTGCCCATTTTGTTCTCCAAGGTAGCTGAGATGTTTATTGAGGAGCTGACACTTAGAGCATGGATCAACACAGAAGAAAACAAAAGACGCATACTGCAGAAGAATGATTTGTCGGCGGCTGTGAGAACATCCGACGTGTACGACTTTCTTATTTTCATTATTCCGCGCAACGAGTTAGACCCAGCATACACCGCATACGAGGACAACCAGGGCATGGAGGATAACATAAAACCGTTTTACAACGACGGCCAATTCTACGGTAAACACCCGGACAACCTGGTGAGTAAACAGACGATGAACCATGACTATGCGAATTATTCTGTTAATGCGCCCACGGCAGAGAGCAATTTACCGCAACATGAACGATAGAACATTTCCGTGTATATAAAATTAAAAGGATTACGATACCCTGTTTAACAGTTTTTGTGGAATGGCAGGTCTATAGAATGAATAAAATTGATATTCACTGTTTTCTGTGGATTTGATGCTCTTTTCGCGTGAGTGTAATCGTAAAAAGGCGTTCCCTTCGATGCTATGATGGAGGTTGTTTCCTTACGATTCTTTTTGCGCATGTGAACTTATCTATCGTTGTTTTCGCTATTGTATTAAGATTAGTTTACCGCTTTTTTAAGTAAATTTCTTTCTTTCAAAAAAATTGTATTAATATCCTTTTGTTATCGGTCTTTATTCCCAGAATTAACGGAAAGATGGTCAAAAAATGAACTTATTGTGCAAATTATTTCTTTTAGATGAGGACAAAGATGAAAATGAAAGTGTGCCAGCTTAGCATGTTTCTACACTGGAAATAAAATACGTATAATCAGAAGGATTAGCGTTGTTAGTAGTAGTGACTATTCATTAGCGTAACTACCAGGTTATAATCTGCAAAAGAATAGGAGAATTTGTGAAAAATAAACTTTCTAATTCCGTAATAAAATCCCTAATTGTTCTGTTTATAACGCTGCAGAGTGGTTATTAAGACACTTTTTTAAGAATGTAACTGTTTAATTATTAGTAAAGAATAATTCACGGAATACCGCGTAAATAATTCGTTGTCTGTAAACGAGTAGAGAATCATTTCTTTGATTCTTAACCATTCTACGTAACGGAGGCGTATATTATTATTTTAATCAGTTTTTTTATGTTCCTGAAGCGTATATGGTTCAATGGTAGAATAGCGCCTTCCCAAGGCGCCGACCCGGGTTCGATTCCCGGTATACGCATCTTTTACCGCATTATATTACTACAGCTGCAGAACAATGAGTCTTCTTTTTTCGTCTACTTGCTCAATTTTCTTTTGATTATTCTCATCCGTACGTCCCTATCTACACCTTTCTAAGTACAACATCACGTTTAACTCATCAAACCACCAAGAAACAACCAGTTTATTCTATGAGTACAATATTTAATATTATTTAGTGTTATCCACAGTCGCCATCAAACTT